CATCTCAAGTATTTTCATTTCTAGTATCACTACTTGCGTGTGTTTCATCATATCTTATTATAATATTTATCTTTTTTCTTGTCGTTCTTGTCCAAGTCTCAAATCTCGACCATGTTTCCTAAGTCGTGTCTAAAGTCAAGAATTTCCTTTCATTATTTCTTTAATATGTTTATAAGAAAATTAAAATCACTCTTTAAATCACCACTATCATCATAATTTTTATTTATTTATGCAATCACATATTGGCTATCTTTAGAAAACAACATTAGGATAAAAATGATAGGAGAATAGATGAGAATTATTATGAGAATATGATTAAGCAGATAAATAGTGATATTTGAGATATAAATACTCGAGGTGATGCTGGTGTGAAAATGAATCAAGACGTGAAGTCTTCTTGAGATGGTTCTTACACAAGTTTAAAACAAAAATAAAATAAAATTAACTTGTATAATAAAACTCAACATCATAGATTGAAAATGTATGAAGCTTCTTTGAAGAATTCAAAATACTTTCTTAAAGATGATAAAAAAATGTCACTAAACACCACTGTAATGATAGAAATAAAATTGAAAATAAATTTTTGTATAGAAACTAACGTATATATTACCTATAAAAATTAAATTATAAAAAAGAGAGTTTTATATAGAGATAAAAAAGAATTTAAAACTTGGACAATGATTTATCACATGAGAGAAAGAATTAAAGTTATTATAACATAATGATAAGAATAAAAATTAGACGATCATTTATCTTATTTTTTAATTATGATTTTGTCAAATATATTTTTTTAAAATAAGAGAATTGTATAATATATCTTTTACAAATTGCTCAACGAACTCAAATAAAATATTACATGTGACAAATTGTTAAAAAAAAAGGTGATGATTAAAGAAATTATTTACAATAAGTTATTAAAGAAGAAGACATGTGCAATAATTAATTTTATATTTAAATTATTAATTACTAAAAATAAATATAAAAATAAGAATTAGTATATATTCTTATCTTTTAATTATAATTTCTAAAATTTTAATTATTATTAATATATTTTTATTGTAATATGAATATTTTTATTTTAAAATTTTAATATTTAATTTGAAAGGTTATTAATTATTTAAATTAAAAATAAAAAATATAATGAAAAATTTCTTTCTAAATTATTTGTATTGACATTTCTTTGATATAATAATAAATTAAAATAAAAAATATTTTAAATTTTAAAATGATAAAAAAATAAAATATCTAGCATTTCAAAAGAAATAGAGTATAAAATATTACACAATCCGGTTCTGAACTTGTTGAGGCATATTGAATCAAAAACCTTGAAGGAGAGTTGGTGATGGGTGACAACTTATTATTCATTGGTTCACAAGTATTCAGTTTAAAATAAAAAATTATTTATGTTACAATAAAATGTTTCGTGTTATTGCTGCTCTTTAGGTGACACATACATTATCCCTTTCAAGTAATGTTTGTTAATCATAAGTCACTTTCCTTGATTTGTATGCGTCACTTCTTTGTTAGTAAAACATTTCAAGTCTCATTTTTTTATATATTAAATTTATTTTATAAAATTAAAATAATTACCAATTACCCGATAAATAATATTAGTAAAATAATTAAATAATTTTTCTTAAAAAACCTCCTTTATCCTATTATGGTAGCATTTGCTTTTACTTATTTTAGACTTCTCTTCTCTAATTAAGGAGAACTTGTGTCGATTATAGTTTTATAAAAACTCTGAGAAATAAAAGGATTTTTTAAAATAAAAAATTTTAAAAAGAGCTTTTGAATTAGTTTATTTTAGTAGATATTTCTTGTGTTTCTTTATCTCAAATATCAAGACTCAAAAACATACTACCTAATAATTTTTAACTTAAAAATAACATTTAAATTATAAAATTACAAAGTAATTTCAACTTTCAATATATGATTCATATTTTTAATTTTAACTTAAACTTAAAAATGACTAACAAGATGAAAAAAAGAGAGTCTAATATTACTGTAACTTTCTCTGTTTCCCATTAATTTTGCATCTTAAATGCTTAAAAGATGTATTTTAAATAAATTATAATAATATTAATACTTTTTATTATTTTAAAATGATTCATTCTAGAATTTGTCTAAGCCTAGATAAACATTAAGAGAGTGTTGAGTTATATATCAAATATGCAAACGTAGAAAAAGCCCTAAGTAATTATAATTAATAGGAGGAAAAAACACAAAAATAGAGTACACTTAACATCGCAACAACATTAAAAGTGTATTTGGATGACAGGGACAAATGAGACAAGAAGAATGATAGAGAATGTGAGCAATATGACAGATGATACGATGAAAAAGATAGATAAAGATAGAAAGGGAAAAAAACATAAAAAAGAGATTTAAGAGAAATAATATATGAAAAAAGAATAAAAATCCTAAACAATAATAATAAATACATGCCAAAATATACTTTTTCAAAAATCAATCATTTTTATACAGCAAAAAATCATGTCTTCTAAAAATTACTTTTCTATATTTCGATTAACTTAATCACAGATTTCCTTGGATCTTACTAAAGCTAAGAGCAAAAGCATGTTCACTGAAAAGTGGCATTGATCACCTAGGTCTCACTTCAGATATTGTTACTTCATTGTTAGAGTAATGCATAGAAGTGTTGGATGAAGACCCTTTATCATTGACAGCTCTTCCAACAGAAAATGCAGGGCGTGTGGGGCTTGGAAGAGACACTGTTTCACTTGCTAGCATATGAACAAGACTTGACATTGTTGGTCTATCTGCTGCATCTTCTTGTACACATAATAGACCAATGTGTATATACTTAAGAACTTCACTAGGTACACATGATTTTCCTATTAATGGATCCATCAATTCCAAACCTTTGCCTTTACACCAGTGATTCCATGTCTAAAATTGTAAATGTATTTGATTTTAGTTAAAAGAATTTTTCAAAAAATAATAAAAGCATGAATTAGGAAATCACTTACATATATGAGAAGGCTTTGGCCTTGGTCAGAAAGATAGAATTTACTGTTCCTTTTTCCTGTGATGATCTCTAGCAAAAGAACACCAAAGCTGAAAACATCTGACTTCACTGAAAACAAGCCTTCCATAGCATATTCTGGAGCCATGTATCCACTGCTCAAAATCAACACAACAGTAAACTTTATTAATCTCACGTTGTATATAAATTCATCAAATAAAGTAGGTCAATATTTTTGTACAAGTGAAAGAAAGCAAATTAATTTATACTTACTATGTTCCCACAACTCTAATTGTATTTGCCTGCTTTTGGTCTCCTCCAAATGTTCTTGCCAATCCAAAGTCTGAGATTTTTGGATTCATTCCATGATCTAATAGAATATTGCTAGCTTTCAGGTCTCTGTGAATTACCCTTAATCTAGAGTCCTCATGTAGGTATAAAGCCCTTTAGCAATCCCATTAATAATGTTTGATCGGTGTTTCCAATCCAGCTGTGCACCCTTCTCCCTATCTGACATCAAAATATAAAGCAATGCAATTCTGAGAAATATGAATATATCCATAAATATATTACTAAATAGGGTTAGTGTTAGACATCAATATATAAATAAAGGTTTTGGAGACTATAATTTGGGTATTGAATTGAGCCCCTAAAACATACAGTTTTGGGTTGATTTCGGAATTCATGTACATAAAAAATACCCTTGGGTGGGAGGGGTCTCCTGATACCTAAGACAAACGCTAGTCACACAAACTTTTAGACCCATTCTTAAACATACTTTTTGTAATCGGTCTATTCTATAAAAGTCAAAATACTTGCCTTATAAATTGATCCTTTTTTAAAAATTATTTTGAATTTTTCAAAAACTAACCAATTACAAGAAGTGTGTTGAAAAAATGTGTTGGTACCTTTCCTTTTTACCTAATGTCTGACTTATTAGGTTATGGTTACTAAAATAAAAAACCAAAAATAGTAAAAAGTGAGAAGGGACATGCCCCACTTAATGATTTCTTGGCATCAAAGTTCCTTGAAATTTTGTTTCATTTCATCCCTCGGCGCCCTTTTTCTTCTCCATTCAGGGCTTATGGTTGTTCATGTATTGTTGAACTACAGGTAGATAATTCTAGCTTTATAGCAAATAGAAAAGTCCTACTTAGCAATTATGTGAATGTATAACTGTGCATGTATGTGTACCATTATATATACTCAAATTCTTTAGAAAGTTTTAACTCTGTACATATTTATTAATATATTTCGTCAAACGGTTGATTTGTTCAACAATAAAGAGAAATGTAAAAGCAGGTACATTGTTTGGGTTTACCAAATAGGTGGAAGTCAAGGCTTGAATTTGGCATATATTCATATACAAGAAGCTTTTCATTTTGCTCAATGCAGCAAGCCAGCAATCTCACAAGGTTGCGATGCTGCAATTTTGCAATCAATATTACTTCATTCTTGAATTCCTCCGCACCTTGAACCGAAGTTTTTGAAAGCCTTTTAACAGCTATTGGTCTTCCATCTGGTAAGACACCCTAGAACAATTTTCAAATCTGTAAGTAAGAATGTTGCAAATGGAGAAACCAAACAAATAAATATCATGTGTGATAAGTGACATTAATTTATTACCTTGTAGACGGGGCCAAATCCACCTTTTCCCAATTTATGTTCATCAGAAAAGTTACTTGTACTTCTTAGAATTATACTCAAATGCATCATAGGAAGGTCAGTGTTCACACTCTCTTCCTTGTCAGTGTGATCTTGAGAAAACATTGGATTTAGTCCATCTTCTTGCTTAGCTTGATGGTCTACAAAGATGAAATTATCTAACATAAACATGATATAATTGATAGCCTCAGCTCAAAGAATGTTGAGAGTTAATGCTTACCTTTCTCCCTTTTGAAGCACCAGAAGTAGTATGTGCTGATAGCCAGTAGAGTTAATACTACAATTCCAGCTACAACAATGACTACTATAATCCACCACCTTGTGTTATCCCCCTCTTTGGCTGCATTAACAAGACAAACAATGTGTATCATTTGTGAAAAATGGTGAAGAAGTGGAAATAATTGTTATTTTAGGCTTTGTTATACAATTTTTACGGAGTTTTTGCCTTTATATTATACTTAAAAGATAGCAAATAAATGCAAGACTAAAACATGTTTCCGGAAGAAAATTAGCTCATGTGGCACCAAGTCCCTTGGGAAGCTACTTGAATCCCACAATAGAATGCTACTAGCGACATTTAGCATACCTCCACCTCCCCATACTAGTGCTTACACAATTTTATGACCAATAGTAGAATAATATAAATATTGGTTCTTAAACTGGTAACTTGTGTCCCCATGGTCCCTAAAAGTGTACATTCGTCTCTGAAATTGTCAAGTTGATCTTACCAAGTTGTCAACATGTAAATGGTTTTCTTCCCTCATAGGACTAATTTGTGTAGATGAAATCAATCAGAATCAAAGCAACACAAGTTGTCACTTTTGAGGGTATAAATTTTGAAAACTGTCTAACACGGCAATCTTCAAGAAAAGAAGTACAAGTTCTCAAACATAATTTAGGGGGTACCAGTGTCAGTGATGCTCCTATAGATCAATAGATCATAGCAAATTGGTTCTAGATGAATAGTACAAAATATTAGGATGAACATAAAAACATAGCTAAAAGAATCAAGCTCATACCTTGCTGAGGTGCTGGAGCAGCAGGCAGTGTATCATTCAAAAAAAATGGCTGTGTTTCATACATCACAATACAGCTTGGAGAAAAGATACGCCACACCTTCTTCTCTTCACAACAATTTTCAACATCCTGAAGCATATTGCTCAAACATGTTCTGCATTCATCACTAGTAATATCCCTGCTGCACTGCACCCAACCATACCTTCTTTGTGTACCATTTATGTTGAACATGTGTGTTCCAAACATCAAAGGATTCTCTGATCCCATTTGTATCAAACCATTCATCAAAATCCTAGCATCACTGTCAAATTCTCCAGCACTAGTAAAATTTTGCGTCGCATCGAACATAGGAATCCTGGGCCTGATTGTGAGGTTGCCAAAGAAATTCTGGTTTGAGTACCTCAGAAGACAAAAGGGGTACCATAAAATAGCTGTGGCATTATTTGGGCAGTGCTGTTTGAGTAATCTGCTAGAGTTTTGCACACATGAGTGACAAAGGCTTTTGTTAACATCGCCACGACATAGGTAGAGTCCATAAACCATGTTGCTTCGATCATCACCTGAACTTCTATTTCCAAAACCATTGCTTGTAGCAGAATCAGATGAGAGTGAAGATATCAGATTGTTGAGGTTGGTTTGGTATGTTGTAGAAGGAGGAACAGAAGATTGGTCCAAACAAGCATATCTATAATCAAGTGGTTGTGTATTGCTACTGTTCTGACCAGAAACAAAGCAAATAAGGCATATCAATTTGATGGTAAATAACCATTGACAGAACATTCTTCTGCTGCTATACCACCACCTCGTATGATCAACATAAATTTGAGGTTTAGGATAGATTTCATAGAAATATATGAATGATCAATTTGTCAAACATTTGACATTCATGTAACATGCACTTTTTAATGTTCAGAGAGGATCATGAATATATTGGCTGTTTGTAGCGTCAATTTCTGACCATATGAAACAGTAAATTTGAAACCCACATAGTATTAGAAAAAATCAAAGAATATTACGCTAAAAAAAAGCATAACAGTGCAAGTAACGTTTATTTAACATTATTCAACTTTTTTTTTTATTATGAACAAAAAATTACTTGAAATAGCTTTGTTCCAATAACGAAGCTTGTAAGTGGGGATGGCCCAGGGTCAGGTAGGATTGATATTTCTAATATTTAAAAATCAACGTTACAAGGTTGTCGTTTGAACAAACAGTAATAGGTTCTAAATCCAAAATATTTAAAATATTGAAATCTTTTAGATAAATTCATGGTCAACAATGGTACCCCTGAGAAAAGTAAACCATTTTGGAGCCTCCGTTTTCTTCGCTAATAATTGAGTTTATGATAATTCAAGTGTTTGACACGCCAAAATGCGACACGTTTTTGGTCAAGATATTGATAATATAATGTTTTAAACATGGATTGGGTGATCCAAACACTTTTTACTTTAGCCTTTTTTTTTTTTTAATTTTATTTTGCTGGCTGAATTGGGACTATATAATGAGTGACTGTGACGTTTTAGAAGAAGAAATAAGAAAGTATATTATGATAGAAAAATAAACAAATTTTTTTCAATCTCATAGCTTGAATACAATCAAGGCTCAAACGTGCTGGTAAGTAGCAACTTACCGTAAAATTTGTTGAAACTTAGTTGAAAACGAGAAAATATTAAAAGAAGAAACTTGGTAAAAATTATATAAAGTATACTAGAATTGTAAATGTGGAATAATTAAATTTTAAACATTTTACCTTTATAATAGATGCTTATAATGAGGTTAAGACATACTTTTACATTATCAGGCAATTAAAATATACATAGATCTTAAAATCAATTATTACATAAAAATCAGTAACTCTAATTAAATATAACAATTTACATTTAGATGATAACATATCTTTTCTATATTATCAATATATATGTTTTTTTTAAATACATTAGACAAATTAAAAACAATAGAACTTAAATGTTAATTAACGCACATAAAAGTGAATCTAGTTATTTTTAAAAATTAATTTTATTCAAGTTAGTCTGTTGGATAATTTTTTATGAATACTAAATTCTATTAATCTAACCATTAAATTGATGATTCTTATTAAATAAATTAAATGAATTTTTTTATATAATTTAAGAATTAATTAATATTTGATCAATCAATTTAATCTTAATAAATACAACATGTTATAAGTTGATATATTATAATTAAAATTCATTTAGATGTAACGCCCCGAATTTTGTAATATTAATTATTGATAATTATATAAATATAAATGTATTTCATGTGTGTGTTTTAGATACATGTTGGGGATATGTATATATATATATATATATATATATATATATATGTGTGTGTGTGTGTGTGTGTGTGTGTGTGTGTGTGTGTGCATGTGTGTATGCATGATTGGTTGGGCTGAAATGGGCTAAGTGCTTGAGTGCAGAGCGAGACACTGGATTGTTCTCGCTCTAGCGAGAGGGCCCTAGGAGGAAGGACCAGAACTGTTGTCTCCTCGCTGTAGCGAGAGAGCGACAATCTGGTTACAGTCTCGCTGTAGCGAGATTCTGCAGAAATCAGAGTGCAGTTTTTTCTGATTTTTTCGTTGTAGCAAGGGGGCGTGTCGCTGCAGCGAGAATATCTCGCTGTAGCGAGAGTGTCGCGACCAGGAGGGTATTTGAAGGGTTATGGTTCGAAAATAGGGTTATTTTCACGATTTTCCTCTCCCTCCTTCATGATTCTCTCTACCCAAACCCATTCCTACCGATTAAAAGCCCTCCAAGACTGATTGGAAGCTAGATTGAGGATTGGGGAAGTGTTTGGAGCTCTTGGAGGTAAGTTCTATGGTTAAGATTTTGGTTTTTGTCCCTTACTTTCATTTTCTGAGGTTTTCCTTAAGTTCCCTTGGAATTTTTGTGTACTTTAGGGACGAAATCTGTGTGGGAAAGTGATTCCATCAACGTTTCATGTCGGGTCTTCGTTTTTGAGGAAACGGGAGTACTTTACTTTAGTTATCTTTGTTAGGAATGAGTTTATTTGAACGAATATAGTAATGTGATAGAAATAGGAGATGTGGTTATGTGTATTGATGAATTGTACGAATTGGTTTGAGTCCGAAGGTGTTCGACCTCCGGCATATTGTGTGAAATTGAGTGATGTGCTTGTGTTGGTTGCCATTGGATGCAAGGAAATGATGTGAATTATGTACTAGATGTTGTGAATGGGTATGGGCACTCGTGCCGTATAATTGAATGAATATTGTGTGAAATGTGGGCCCGAGGGCCATGTAATATAAATAGAAATAGGCTAGGAGCCGTGTATCTTGAATGAATTATAGGCTATGTGCTGTGTGTGCTGTGAAAATGAAATGTGGCCTAGTGTCGTATACTGAAATGTGTGTGATTGGAGCGTGTAACGCCGTGTAATGTGTTATGAATGGTTCAGCGATACACTAGGGTGTGGGAGATGAGGACAGTAGAAGTACCTTGGGGAAGAGGGGGTGGTGGTGACATCGACTGTGGAACGGGTGCACTACAGGCCACACACTCTCTTCCTGACTAGACTTTTGACTATTACTTTTGCTGAGCAATCCATGACTGCCCACGTGGTATCCGTGAGGTGGGAATAACCGGCGACCATTCATGGTATAAATCCGTGATCACAGTATCAATAAGAGTGTGATTGGCGTGCGTATGCATGGATTCATGAATTGTGTTTGTTGGATGTACTACTGCTACTTGTGTTCGTATTTGTTTGATGTGTTGGAAATGTGTTGGAGGGGAGACTCTATGCTTATTTGTATGTTTTGGTAGTGTAAAGTACGCACCCTTACATTCATTTTTCAGGTACTCAAGACGATCAGCACCGGACTCAGTGAAAGGGGCGGATGAAACTGCTATAGGACTAGGAATTTTTAATTGAAAACTAATGTATTTGAATGAGTCCTGTAGTAATGACTTGATAGAAATTGTAACCCCTTTTTTTATTTTAAAATATTTAATGAAACAAAGGTTGAGAACCTTATTTAAAATGAATTTTATTTTATCCCGAATTTGCGAAATTATGATTTATTAAAATTAAAACATAAAGTGTTATATTCTACGTCAAGAATTAAAATTTGAGTCTAGTATTTCAAATTCAAATTCAATTTCAATTTTATTAAATTAAAATTAGCTCATAATTTTAAATTTTATTTTTGACTTTTATAAAGAATTTAGATACATGATTAGAATTTTAAATTTATATATGAATAATTTTAAATTTATGTAATTCTCCCTTTTTTTATGCATAATTTTGGAAAGCTAAAAAAAAAAAATATCTTTAGTGAAACTTAATTAGCTATAACAATTTTTATCACTTTCATGATATAATAGTCTCAGAAGCACAAATCTTTCCAAGTCATTGTCAGTCTCTACTTTTAATTTCCTAGGTATGAATTTTTGTTATACTGATAACAACTCCTTTTAAGATTAGTCTCATCTTTTTTACTTATCTTGTATTTTCATTGGTTGATAAATCAAATTTCAATATTTGTTGAGTTTTGTTTGACATCTAAAATTTTAACCATATTTTTTTAGACAAAAATAATTATATTTCTAAAAAGTAAAAATAAACAATAATCAAATTTATGAGAAGCTGTAACCAATATATATCGCATATCATATATAAAAAGTAAAAGAATGATAACAGAGATTAATAACAATAAAAAATACTCATATAACCAAAAACAATATATAGCTACAAAAAATATATCAAGAGCTATGGATTTGTGACATAAAACGAAAATCAAAGTAAATCACATCCAAATACCATTTAAGAAGAATCAAGCCAAAACTGGTGTAATATGAAAAGTATTAAAAAATTGCAAAATTGAAAAATTACATTATTACGTCATTAATTGGTGTAATAAAAAAAATTGCAAAAATATTCAAAAGTATTTTTTTTATGTAATATCAAAACTATCGATTAGTGTGATGCAAAAGTACAACGTTTTTTTTGTTTCTTTACTTGAAAATTAATTTTTATTCAACACTAGTACAATATTATCATGTGAACAGTGTAATGTTACAACTAAAAGAAATTTTAAAGAAAAAACATACCTTAGAACTTTTTGACAGAAATGAGAAGTGGTCAAGTAGCAGTTTTGGAGAACAATGAAAATTCTGAGACGTAGAATTGACAATTTCTAGAGTATGGGCTAAGAATTGGAAAAGGCTTAGGCTAGTTATTTTTAATTCCATGGAATTGTTATATGAATTTATGATTCTAATTTTAAAAGAGCCACCAAACATAAAATTTAGAATTAAAGAGCCCAATTCTAATTCTAAATATTAATTCCAAACCTAATTTTATGTACTAAAGGGACAATTAGGAAAAAAGTGAAGGTGAGGGAGTCAAAGGACACACAAGAAGAAAAATAGGATTAGTTTCTTTAAAATTTAATAAAGTAAACTAAATTAGATTAATTGAATATATGTGTGGGCACTGACCGTATATAATAATTCAACTCTGTTTATTTTTTAATTAACTCTTTTAGAATGAATGATTGGTTTAATCTTTTAAAGATTTATTTAATATTATTAATTTAGTCTTTCAAAATTTTTTAATATCGATTGAATCTTACACATATTAAGAGACAGAAATATAATTTCTTTAGTTTTTTTGAAGACTTTTACATTATTATAAATCTTCTATTTAACATCATATGAGTAGACTTCAGATTTATATATTTGTATTATCGTTCAATCACTATCAAACATTAACGGTTGAAAAAGAAATTCATAAACTAC